ATGGCCGCCCTACAGCTGATCGGTGTGAAAAGAAAACGAATGAGTAGACCGGTGCCTGCAAAAACAAATGGGTAGATGGGTACAGCTCTGCAAGCAGTTAAAAGCCTGGTAGACCAGTACCTCTGCTAAATCCTAAATAATTGTCACATGACCATCAAGCCACGCCCACAAAATAAGCCACGCCCACAGAACCGGTAGTAAAATATTGTAGAAAACCACCACCACCCCTAGCCCAGTAGGCCCGTTTTTCGCTCTCCCCAGGCTCCAGAGGCTTTCTTGGAGCCTAGGAAGGGCGAAAACAGCTTTTCCCACCCCGCCGGAGGCCAGAAACAGCCCATTTCCTGACTTCTGGTGGGCCCGGAAGGCTAGAAAATCAGCTGGCTGGCATGCGCATGCACACTGGAGCTGAGCTAGGGCAAAACTCGTGTGCCCACAGATATGGCTCCACGTGCCATAGGTTCGCCATCACGGCTTTAGAACAAGGGTGTCAAAGTGGCAGCCCACGGGCCCGATGTGTCACATGCAGGCAACACCCACCCCAGCTCCGCGAAGAGGGAAAACGTCGCAAAATGTGGCGACACCACTGCTCTACAAAGAGCGCAGAGAAGAGCAACAAAGATGATTAAGGAGCTGGAAACTCACCACAGTCCAACTCACCACGGGACAATTTCACAATTTCAAATTAATTATTTAAAATAAATTTTAAACATAAAAATCAATCCATAACAATATTTTGATTTTCATCGTTCGCCTTTCCATTTTGTCCCTCCTTTTGTGTCCTTTCTTTAACGTTTCCATTCCACCGTTTGTTTGATATTGTCCCCCGGCGAGTTCTCCCACGGCGAGCTGACAGTTGTTCTCTCACCTTATTTTTGCCTATTTGAATTTGCATACCTAACCTGTCATTGATAGTTCTGTTTTTGGTATGTTGAGTATCCCAAAGATTTTTCTGCAGGCAACTGGACTTTCTTGCTTTTTTTTTTTTCTTTTGAAGAGATTTCGCTTCTCACCCAAGAAGCTTCTTCAGCTCTGACAGGGTAGTGGGGAATGGAAAGATCCCATCAGAGCTGAAGAAGCTTCTTGGATGAGAAGCAAAACGTCTTCGAAAGAAAAAACAAGGAAGTCCAGTTGCCTCCTGAAAAATCACCTTTGGGACAACCGTGACCTGGAGGACGGATAATCTCTACAGACGGTAAGTTGAGTAGCGTTTTCTTTTCGTGTGAAGTATGAAGGAAGCCATTCTGCTTTCTCTCAACTGCCCGTTGTTATCTTCTCCTATTAGTGGACTGATTGCTTCTTTGACTTTTTCCTCGTTTTATTATTGGTCGGAAGGAACTTTTTGTCAATTGTTTTTGACATTGGTCGTAATTCTTACTTCGTTCAAAGCCTTCGCTTTCCTAACTTCACCTTTGCAGATTCAGGCTAGCTAAGTTCTGACCCAGCTCCCCGAACACACCAAACCCTCTGAAGTGAACTCAAAGATTCCTTTATTAGAAGCGCCAGCAGCCCCGACAAAAAGTTTCTCTCTCAACGCAGGCTAAGAATTCCGTCCGTCCGGAAGACGAATAGTTGTCTGTCCCATCTATTCATCTCCGCCCCCTGCCTTTGCTCCCCAGAGCTAGAGAGGGGCTTCACTAGCAGCGGTGACTCTTCCTTCCCAAGAACCAGCCCACAGATTTCCACTGCTCTCCTCTCCTCTGCCTTCTGTGCATCCACGCATCAGGCACTGGACCCAGCTGTTCCTCCTCTTCCTCATCAGCCACCTCCAGACCTGGGGGCTGCTGACTCTCCATCTGAGGGCTGATGGACGGGCCGGGCTCCGCCCATAGATTTCCACTGCTCTCCTCTCCTCTGCCTTCTGTGCATCCACACATCGGGTACTGGACCCAGCTGTTCCTCCTCTTCCTCATCAGCCACCTCCAGATCTGGGGGCTGCTGACTCTCCATCTGAGGGCTGACGGATGGCCCAGGCTCCCCCCTTCTCTCTCTTTCTCTGACCGCTCCACTCCCTCTTCCCCCTCGGAGCTCTCAGGTTGCCCTGATGCGGACCTTGACTCCCACCCCTCCCCCTCCTCCTCCTCTGATTCGGCTGCTGGAGGGAACAAGCTCCTGCTATTCTGCCTCAGTGATGCTCTAGTTTTTTTTGCTTTTTTTTAAACTTGCCTTTCTTTTCTCTCCCTTGGTGGGCCTGAGAGTTCTTTGTGCAACCATACTGGGGTTTTTCTTGGTTTTCTCTCTCTTTTTTTTTTTTTCTTTTTTGCTGGTATTGAATGAAATCATTCAGGTCACGGACGAGGCACCTCGGCAAAGGACAAAAATAAAAAACGAATACATACAGTCCCTCGGGAGAATAGCGGCATATAAATCGCAATAATAAATAAATAAATAAATAAATAAATAAATAAATAAATAAATAAATAAATAATAGGAATCAATCTTTCACTTGCTGCCACATTAACCTCTCTGCCTCTCACCCTCTTTTTGTCTCCACATGTGCAGGTCGCTAATCTCCTATGGGGAGGCCGTTCCTCCTGTGGGGTCTCCTTTCAACCTGGAGCACCCTTGGCCATCCCTAGGAAGGAGAGCATTGCATGACGTGCAAAATACCTTTGAAAAGTGCCTCTCTTTTTTTTTTTTTTGTCCTCCTGACAAGATTTCAGGCAGCTCAAAAAAGGCGACGGCAGCTAGTCCTCGACTTAGAACCGTCTGTTTAGTGACTGTTCAAAGTTTCAACAGCCCTGGAAAATGTGACTTTGGACCGTTTTTCAGAGTTTCGTGCCCTTTGTGGCATGCCCACAGTCACGTGATCAAAATTCAGATGCTTGGCAAACAACTTATATTTATGACGGTCGTGGTGTCACCTTTTTCCAACCTTCTGACAAGCCAGATTCATTTAACAACCATGTTACTCATTTAAGAACCACATGGATTCCCTTAACAAATGTGGCGCGAAAGGTCGTAAAATCGGGAGGGGGTGTCTCATTCCACACGTCTCACTGAACAACAGAAATTTCAGGCTCCATGGCGGTCATAAGTTGAGGACTACCTGTATTCGAGGAGGGTGAAGTCTTTCTCTAGGGTGCAGAAATCAAGGCTTGGGTATACGTGATTTGGGATGATTGTATCGAAAATCAACAAATCAAGCAATAAAATAATTTGGCGTGCAATGAAAGCTTTGTTTTATTATGTGGGAGAAAAGACACACACACACACACACACTGTAGGTTGCATCTGCTCCTCTCCCACCCAGCTTTGCGTCTTTCTGAACATTTCGCAGCTTTAATCGGAGAGTTCGGAAGGCAGACCTATTGTTTGGTTGATGAAAAGGCTAGTTTGGGCCCATTGAAAGAAAGGACACAGATTTAAATGGGGGGGGGACCCTGGTTTCCTGACCTTTGAAAGGAAGTGTGGGAGCCTGCTCTGTGCGGCAGCAGCCAAAAAAGCTAACACAATCCTCGGTTGCATAAACAGAGGCATAGATGTGAAGTGTTAGTACCGCTTTGTAAAGCCTTAGTTAAGGCCACACCTGGAACGCTGCATCCAGTTGTGGTCGCCACATTACAAAAAAGAGTTTGAGACTTTGGAAAAAGCACAAAGAATAATTAAGATGATTAAAGGCCTGGAGGCTAAAACATACGAATAACCGTTGCAGGATTTGGGTTTGGCCAGTCCAGAGCAAAGAAGGCCTGGGGGGGGGGGGACAGGATAGCAGTGTTCCAATATTTGAAGGGCTGCCCCAAAGAAGAGGGGGTCAAATTATTTTCCCAAGCCCCAGAAGGCAGGATGAGAAACAAGGGATGGAAACTCATCAAGGAGAGAAGCAACTTAGAATTAAGGAGAAACTTCCTAACAGTGAGGGCAATTAACCCGTGGAACTGCTTGCCACTAGAAGTTGTAGGTGCTCCATCACTGGCAGTTTTTAAGAAGAGACTGGACAGCCATTTGTCAGGGATGGCTGTGGATCTCCTGCTTGAGCAGGAGGGCTGGACTAGAAGACCTCCAAGGTCCCTTCCAGCTCTATTCTGATTAATTAAGCCTACAATTTGCCGTAATACTCGGGGTTTGATCTCCCACTCATTCTCCCCCCAGAAAAAGGAGTACAATGGGTGTGTGTGGGGGGGGAATAGCTCTGCCCTGGTCCTGCGAGAGGAAGGAGGACTTTCTGCAATGGAGGGGAGAGATTTGGGGTGGGCTTCGACTCTAAGATGGGACGTCCTCTTAAATAGGAATCAGATTGGAATGGGGGAGGGGGATTGCCCTTAGGGATTTGGAAGTTTTTTCCTCAAAGAAAAGTTGGATCGTGGCTCCCATCATGCCTCGGGGTCTTTAAGAGAGTAACAGAATGACAACAGAGGTGGAAGGGAACCTGAAGGTCTTCTAGTCCAACCCCCTGCTGGAGCAGAAGACCGTGTATCATTTCAGAGATTGGTTTCTTCTTTGCCACCTCTGGTGAGGGAGCACCCACTAGTGGCAAGTCGTTCCATGGATTAAGAGGGAGGGAGGGAGGGAAAGAAGGAAGGAAGGAAGGAAGGAAGGAAGGAAGGAAGGAAGGAAGGGGGGAGGGAGGGAAAGAGAGAGAAGAGAGGGAGGAAGGATGGAAGGAAGAAGGAAGGAAAGAGAAAGAGAAAGGGAGAGGGAGGGAGAGAAGGAAGGGGAAGGGAGGGAAGGGAAAGAAAGAAAGAAAGAAAGAAAGAAAGAAAGAAAGAAAGAAAGAAAGAAAGAAAGAAAGAAAGAAAGAAAGAAAGAAAGAAAGACAGACAGACAGACAGACAGACAGACAGACACCCGGCTGTTCCCTCGCCTTTCACATGGGACCCCCTTCATTCCTACGCGCGCCAGCCTTCCCTTCCCTTCCCCTCCCCTCCCAGTTGCTCTTCCGCTGCCCCGCCCGGCAGCCTCTCTTTTCCCTCCACTTTCACTTTCGGCTCGGGAGTCACGTGCTTTCCGCGAATCGCCCAACTGTGGGGCGGGGCTGGGGGGGCCTTCAGCAGTCGAGCCTTCCCTCCTCTGCCTGGTGGATCCGCTGCGCGATCTCCCGCCCGGCCAAAGCGCTTCGCTCTCGCTCTCTCCTGGATCTGGTAGGAAGCTCCTCCGGGCTGAAATGGGTCTGGGGGCGGCTCAACCGGGAGAAAAGGGGAGGGGGAGGGAGAAGAAGGCCCCGCCCAGCCCCCCCCCCACCTTCTCAGCCCCCCCCCCACCTTCCGGGCGTAGCCGCTTTGCCGTAGCCGGAGCTGCGACCTCGGGGAAGGGGGAGCTGGAGGAGCGAGGCATATTGGGTGGGGGTCTTCTCCTCCCCGAGGAGAGGGTCCTGGGAGTCTGGCGCACGCCGCTGCCCTGCGCTGCATTCCCTCTGAAGCATCCCGTAGCCGCTTTGCAAAGGGGGCTGCGGTGGGGGTCCAAAGATCGAGAGGGCAGGGAATTGGGTCTGGGGTCTCTTAAGGCAGAGGGTGCTAGAGACGGAGTCTGCTGGGACTTGCTCCTCCAAAGGGAGCCCGGCGGAGCGGCTTTGGGGGTCAGCGAGGGAGGCTTGGCTGTGTCGCTGACTGGTCACGGCTGGAAGGGTGAACCCTCCCCACCGAGGGGTTCCTCAGAGCGCAGCAGCCGTGCCCTCCTGCGATGGACAGACCCTCCTCTGGAGCCCCTGACTCAAGTAGGAAGAGAGAGAGAGAAACAGCTTTGGGTTCTGCTTTCTCCCTGCAGGGATTTGGAGGAGATCTGAAGTGGCCTGGAAGGATGGACACCAAAAGAGGTAAAAGCTCCAGAGTTATCCTGGGTACTTTTTGGAGAACCCAGGAGAAGGGGAAAAGGGAAGGGAAGGGAAGGGAAGGGAAGGGAAGAAGGAAAGGATGAAGGAACAATGGAGGGAGGGGGAAAGAAGGAAGGAAAGAAAGGAGAAAAATAAGGAAGGAGGGGGAGGAATGAATAAAGAAAGGAGGGGAGGGAGGAGGAGGAGAGAAACAAAGGAAAGGAAGGACAAAGGAAGAAGGGAAGGGAAGAGAAGGAAAGAAAGAAAAAAAGAGGGAAGGAAGGAAAAAAGAAAAAGGAAGGAAGGAAAAAAAGGGAGGGGGAGGAAAGAGAAAAAGGAAGGAACAAAAGAAAGAAGGGAAGAAAAGAGAAGGAAAAAATACAGAAAAAAGGAGGGAGGGAAAGAAAGAGAGAGAGAGAAAGAAAGAAAGAAAGAACCCCTTTCTCACCCCTCATTAATTTTTATTTAATTTATAACCTGCCTTCATCATTCTAATAAATAACTCAAGGCGATGAAGATATCGAACAAACCTTCCTCCTCTTAACTGTCCCAAAAACAATCTTGTGAGGTGGGCTGGGCTGAGAAGAGGGAGGGAGGGGCAGGTCCATAGTCACCCAACTGGCTTTCATGCCTAAGGCATGAAGGGGGGGATGGATGGATGGATGGATGGATGGATGGATGGAAGGAAGGAAGGAAGGAAGGAAGGAAGGAAGGAAGGAAGGAAGGAAGGAACAACAGTGCTCCAGGGTTACAGTGGATGTCAGCATTTCTGTAACATTGTTTTCCAAACTCCCAGGGAAGGATGCCGAACTCCGGCTGATACTGGTTGGAAAGTCCGGAGGCGGGAGGAGTGCCACGGGCAACACTATCCTTGGCTGGAAGGTGTTTAACTCCACCTTGGGCGCAAAAACCACCACCCTGAAATGCCAAAGGGGGCAGGGAACCTGGCAGGGCACGAAGCTCTCCGTGGTCGACACGCCCGCCATGTTTGACGCTGACGACTACACCGAGATTGTGCGACGTGAGATCATGGCTTGCATTCAGCTCTCCTCGCCTGGCCCCCACGCCTTCATCTTGGTGACCCAGGTGGGACGCTTCACTGCTGAAGACGCGGCCGCCGCGAAGTATATCCAGGATATCTTTGGGGCCGCGTGCACCAGGCACATGATCGTCCTCTTCACCTGCGTGGAGGATTTGGGTGGGGACCCCCTGCAGGAGTTCGTCCGTAACTCCGACAACAGGAATCTGCACAAGCTGATCCGCCAGTGCCGGAACCGCTTCTGCGGGTTCAACAACAAGGCCGTAGGAGACGAGCGGGAGAGGCAGGTCTCGGAGCTGATGGAGACGGTGAAGAGAACCATTTTCCAAAACGGCGGGAGACACTACGTCAACCGGCTGTATCTGGAGCCCAATTTACAGGACGAGCACGTCCAGATGTTCATCGAGCAGAACCGAAAGCCGTCCCGAAGCATCATCAACATCCTCTTGGTCTGCTTCCTTCCACTCTGCTTGGCCTTTTACATTGGCAGATGGTTTTTTTCCTGCCTGAGAAGCGCATTTCATTACTTCTTTTAAGTCTTCGAATCCCGACTTCCTTTTGCCTCCAGGTCACAAAACGATGCAGAGTTAGTCCTCGACTTACAATCGCAGTGGAGTCCCAAATTTCCGTGGCTAATGGAGACATTTGTGAACGGAGCTTTGCCCCCATTTTACGACCTTTCTTGTCACCGTTGTTCGGCGAATCGCCGTCGTTGTCAAAACTGTTGTGAAGTGAACAGGGCTTCCCCTTTGACTTTGCTTTTCAGGAGGTCACCAAAGGGAGGAATCACTTGACCCCGGGACATGGCAACCGTCATAAATATGAGTCAGTTGCCGAGCGTCTGAATTCAGTGCCGAAAAGGTTCGCCAACACTGATACAGGGTCTCCTAATTAAGCAGGAGGTTGGACTAGAACAGGGGTCTGCAACCTTAAACACTCAAAGAGCCATTTGGAACAGTTTCCCACAGAAAAGAAAACACCGGGAGCCACAAAACCCTTCCCGTCCCTGACTATTTCTTGAGTGGCCACAAAACTAGCACATGTAGTTGAATTAAACGTTCTGTTTTCTTCTGAAACTTTTCTTGGATTTATCCATGGTTGGCCTACCGGGGGTTGAAAAGCCCAATAAATCGTGTGCCAGTGGGTGTCACACATTGGTGGTTGTGACGCATATTTTGAGTGACAGGGAGCTGCAGCAGAGGGTGAAAGAGCCACATGCGGCTCCAGAGCTGCAGGTTGCTGACCCCTGGACTAGAAGACCTCCAAAGTTCCTTCCAACTCTGTTATTCTATATTCTGTTATTCCACATTAAATAAAAGTATTATTTTACAACACGTATAGAATCTAGCTGCGCATCTTTAGTTTTCAAATACAAATTTTTCCCCCTTTTTTTTTCCCCTCTCCCTCCTCCTCCCTAACCCCCCCTCCCCACCCATCCCCCCCTGTGACTTCTTCATAACAATAAAAAAAAAAACCTAATTCATAACAGATTACTTACTCCCTCCTCTAGATATTGACCTTTACTTACTAAAAATATTATTAATTATAACATCCCCCTTTATCCATACATATCAAAAAAGAGAAAAGAAAGGGAAAAAAAAAGACATTATACTATGACATTATAAAATAACTTCTCCACTTTAAAACTATACGATAAGTCCTACTTTAACATTTAATCTTCTATATATATTAGTATAACATTTCAAAGCGGCCTTCCCCATAAAATCTAATTTAACATTTATTCCACTCTATCCACATTAATGTTAGATGCCACTTCTCTCAAATTTGTAGATAGTCCAGCTGGGGTATCCAATAAATCCAAAGGCAATTCATCTGCTACAGTCTCTGTAATTCGATATTTTACCTTTATTTCCGGCTCCTTCTGCTTATCCTGTATTATACCTGAAGATGTTAAGTTCATTTTCAACCTATTTTGATAAAATTCTTCCGCTCTTTCAACAGTATTTAGCTGATATCTTTCTCCTTGGTATCTAAATATAATACCAACTGGGGCATCCCACCTGAATGAGATATTTCTCTTTTTTAACTCAATCACCAGAAAACCAAATTTCTTCCTTTCCATCAATATCTTAGGTGGGAGTTCCTTGTAAATCCAAATCTTTCTTCCATACAATTGCAAATTAGAATTGAAGGAATTTTGCACGATATTATTCCTAATTTCTTTGTCTGTAAAATAAATCACCACATCTCTAGGCAATTGCCTTTGCTTGGCAATCCAGGAATTTATTCTGAAAACTCTATCAATCCTACTAAACACTTCATCAGGTTGAACCTTTAGAATCCCAGCTAGAAATTCAGAAGATATTTTCCTTAAATCATCTCTATTATTTTCCTGCAAACCTCTTAATCTTATCGCATATTCTGTGAAATTATATTGTACCATTAAAATCTCTTTTTCAATCTTCTGTTGCAGATTTTCTGCATTACCATACTTTTGATCAGCATCCATTTTAGGTTTTTCTTCTAAGCTATTATCCTGAGTGTTTGTCAAATCATTTTCAATTTTTTGAATTCTATTGTCCAATTTATCTTGAATTTTTTCCATTTTAGACTCTAGTACATTAGTATTTGTGTCCAACTGTATCATAAATTCTGTAAAACCATTAGCCACTTTTGAGAGTTTTTTCTCCAAAAAATCAAACTTAGATTTCCCCAATTCTTTAATTTCCTGCTTAAATTTTTCAAGTTGCTGATTCACAATCTCCTCCCTTCTTTCAATCTCCTCTATAAAAAAATTCTATTATATTAAAATCAGGTTTCTGAGACTGAAGAGTTAAGACTTGTTCCTTTAAGTTGTTGGTGGGGGAATCCCCCCCCTTCTTGTTTATCTAACTTTATGAGTCTCAGTGCCATGTTTCCGCCCAGGCAGGCTTTGTTAAAAAAAAAAAGCAAGAAAGACTTCTTTCCAATCAACAACAATATCAGGTCTCCAAGGGAAAAAAAAAGGAGAAAAAGACACAGGAGCGCAGTTTTGTCTACAAATGTAGCCAGTGGTATTTATTCCGCTACATTGTAGTAATAAAAAACGGAAGGACTTTCCCTTTCAGCCTCTCCTCCAGCCGACGCCATTTTAAAAGGCTTTTTTCCCTCTTTCTTTTCCTCCTCTCTCTTAAGTATTTTTTTTAAAAAAAATCAGTAAAATACTTGCAGTTCAGTATTATAGGTCCAGCTCACATTTTCTTTAAGTAGTCTGTTAAATTTACAGGCTTGCTTTTGACGCCTGGCTCTGCATCAGCAGAGGTCTCCCAAAGCTCGGAGCGGCGGCTGGGGATACGGGGCATCTCATCCGCTCCGTCCCAAAAGTAAAGGAAAAACTTTTGGGACTCCGCAGAGAGTTCTACCCACCCCTGCCGGCTCTATCTCCGTTTCCTCATGGAAACGGAGTTTTTTCGAGCTGCCATTCCGTTGTGAAGGCGGCTCTGACAGGCGATGGAAGCTGACGATCCCAAAGGAACGTCTGGCAGCGACAAAACAGCAAACCGGAAGCCTAGCTGCGCATCTTTAGACAACTCCACTATAACCATTTGAAAAACTGCAAAACAGCAGTCAAACTTTTAAGCATGGTGGCCCAGCTGGACAAGGGGAAGGCCGTGTGAGTGGTAGGCGCACGCATGCAAGCACAGCTCCATTGGTGCCAGCGGAGTTCACGCGCCTTTCGCTCGCATGAATGGAGCTTCGCGTGTGAGCGGAGGGGGCTTGCGATCACATGTGAACACACTGGCACTAGGGCTCTCACACAAAGCTCCACTCGTGCAAGGGGAAGGCACGCGGACACTCGCACGCCAAGCAATTCTGCGACCGGAGGGTGTTTGTGCTTGCGCATGAAGCACCACTCATGCGAGTGGACAGCACTTGCGTGCAAAGCAAGCGTTCTCGACTAGCGTGAGCGGTGCTTCGTGCGTGAGCACCAGCGCCCTCCACTCACGCAAATGGCGCTTTGTGCAAGAGTGCACACGCCCTCTGCTTGTGAGTGGCGCTTTGCGCGTGATTGTGGTTTTCCCCCATTGACTTTGCTCTTCAGGCGGTCGCAAAAAAGGATTGCGTTGCAACTACTTTACTAATAGTCTTACTGACTGATAGTTTAACTTGCCACTACTTTACTAATAATTTTGCTAATAGTTTAATTTGCCGCTACTTTACTAATAGTTTTACTGAGTTTAACTTGCCACTACTTTACTAATAGTTTTACTGATAGTTTAACTTGCCACTACTTACTAATAATTTTACTAATAGTTTAATTTGGCGCTACTTTACTAATGGTTTTACTGAGTTTAACTTGCCACTACTTTACTAATAGTTTTACTAATAGTTTCATTTGGCGCTACTTTACTAATGGTTTTACTGAGTTTAACTTGCCACTACTTTACTAATAGTTTTACTAATAGTTTCATTTGGCGCTACTTTACTAATGGTTTTACTGAGTTTAACTTGCCACTACTTACTAATAGTTTTACTGATAGTTTAATTTGGCGCTACTTTACTAATGGTTTTACTGAGTTTAACTTGTCACTACTTTACTAATAGTTTTACTGACTGAGTTTAACTTGCCACTACTTTACGAATAGTTTTACTGACTAATAGTTTAACTTGCCAAGCATCCGAATGTTGACCCGGGGATAGCTGCGACAGTCGTCAGCGTGAAAAACGGTCCCAAGTCCCTTGTTTCAGGAACCGTTGTAACTTGGAATGGTCACTAAATGAACCTGTACAACAGACGCTCACCTGGGGCCTTCCCACCCATCGCCGAGGTTCACGTTTGACTCGGTTGCTTGTCGAAAGTCAACTTTGCCGTTTCTCCGAAGCCGACTGGCGTGTGGGGCCGGCAAGAAGGGAGAAATCCTAGGCCTGGGTTTCCTGGTAGTAGAGGGCCATTTTGCCAATGATTTACTAAGTGTGTATTTCCACCACCCTCCCTCCCCTTGCTTCACTTTTTGTGGTTTTTGCTGGGAATAAAAATGCTCCGGTGTTTGTAAGAGTCGTATTTTGTCTTTGGTCGAAATGTATTGAGTTGGGGTGGGGAGGCTGAGTGGGGGGGGGGGACCCACACCCCCTCGGACATTGTAGGGCTGAAGCCCCAAATATCCCCACCCCCCATTCTGACTGTCTGATTATCCTGCGAGAACATCACGTCTTGCCCCCACCCCCATCCAGCCCTGGTTTGAAGAAGGCCAGGAGAAGGACGAGGCGCGTTCACACAACACATTAAACCCGGCTTGCAGGTTAGCAAACCCCGACTCCGATCTCGCGGGCCACCTTCAAAAGAGGAAAAACGGGCCTCTCCAGAAAGCGTTCTGTAATTCTTTTGATGATGATTGATTGATTGATTGATTTTTTGATCCTAGAGAATAAACTACAGAACGATAAAACAAACGTGCGAAAGGAGAACAAAATGAAAAGATAGGTTCCACCCTGATGACAACAACAAGAAAAGAAAAGAAAAGAAAAGAAAAGAAAAGAAAAGAAAAGAAAAGAAAAGAAAAGAAAAGAAAAGAAAAGAAAATATTTGTACAAAAAAAGGAAGGAAAAAAAGGGGGTCAATGAAATGTAACATGGAGGAGCCACCCTGGCTGAGTGCTGAAAGGAAAGAAAAATAAATTTTCTCCCCTTTTACAAAGATGGGTGGGTGATTGTGGGGATGGATGGAAGGTAGGTAGGTAGATAGATAGATATGGATGGATGGATGGATGGAAAAGAGAGATTATATATATTTATTTATTTTGTTATATATATGAGATATAGATATATATGGATATCGATCAGTATTTCCCAAAGTGTGGTACGCGTACCCCCAGGGGTACAGGAAGAGTTTGGTGGGGATCACGTGGGAATATCCACTGCACCGTGATCTGTCATCTCAACATAAACAATTTCATCCTTCTCATTGAATCAAATAAATGTTCTTTATAATATAACTTTCGTTTATTTTGTGTATGTACCAAAAAAAGAAAAAATAAATATATTTTGATTTTTATTGAAGCATATGTTTTTTATGAGGGGTCCTCAGCGTTACGAAAATTATAGAAGGGGTACACATATGTCAAAAGTTTGGGAAACTGCTGTAAGGGTCTCCTGTTTGAGCTGGGGGGCTGGACTTGATGACCTCTGAGGCCCCTCCCCAATCTCTTATTGTGTAAGGGTCTCTTCCCTGGGCAGGGGGTTGGACTAGATGACCTCCGAGGTCCCTTCCGGCTCGATTCTGATGGAAAGGCTGCTGGAAGAGGGAAGGGTTAAGGGGGGGGCGCCCTGCAAAGCGGCAGGCAGAGACTAGAGGAAGCGAGGCTGGCTTTTGGGAAGGGGGAGGGAGACGAGGGGA